GTTTTGGGTATCTGTTGACTATTTAAGGGGCATGTTTGGGGCGGCTGTTTAAGAAAATCGTCCAACATCCGTCTGTGGGGGCACATGCCCGACCTAATTCGGAGCGTGAATTACTTACCCCGCTTTCGCTTCTAGGCAAAACCAAGTCATACCACGCGCCTCCTCGTCAAGCGGCCTGGCCAGTACAGGCCGCAGTTTGGCATCGCTTGGTATCTCTTGGAAGCGAGGGTGGTCAAAAGCGAGGTAGGTTTGTTTGCCCCCTACTAATATCAGGAGGAAAAAAAACACAGCACAATGAATCGGCGATCCCCCCAAAAATATAGGAAAATATGAGAAGTGGGGGGGGGGGAAGACAGAAGGCCCAGACATATGGTAAAATATGGGGAATCATTTTATTTGTGTGCATTTGTTTGTGTGTCCTGGTGCCCCTTCATGCCTCGTCCACTCACACCCAGCTCCCCGCCATAATATTCAAAAGGCCTGCGCCGTTCCGCCGGCCCCCCCCGGGCGAGGCGTGGAGTCCACAGAGTGGAGGCGCCGTGGGTTTCTTCTTGGGCCCTCTGCAGTGGGGGCGCGCGTCAAGAAACCGGTTGGATTTTGCCAGGGTGCCCTGGGCCCTGGGTTTCTCGGACTTTGATGGGCTCCCAGTCAGGTCTTGACGATTTTCGATCGGCGCCTGTGGATTTCCATGGAACAGATCGCGCGTTTCAGGGTTGGTTTTTTTCGCGGAGGCTTCTTGTGGCCGAGTCCCCGCTGTGTGCGGGGATTCCTGTGGGCGCCTCGCAAGTTGCTGGAAAGCCTGGCGGAGCCTCTCGGGGGTCGTTTCGAAGCGCGCTGCCTTCCCACCTCATGAGCACCACCCCAGACACAGGAGGAGGAGGAGGAGGAGGAGGAGGAGGAGGAGGTCGCTGCTCGAAGGGCCGCCAGCGGGCACCGATGCAGGCGCCAGGCGCTCGACGCTCGCGAGGTGCGACGTGCGCGCCAGGGGCACCGCGCGCGCCAGGTGCTCCAGGTGCCCTCCTCCTCCTCCTCCTCCTCCTCCTCCTCCTCCTCCCTCCTCCTCCTCCTCCTCCTCCTCCTCCTCCTCCTCCCCTCCTCCTCCTCCTCGTCCTCCTCCTCCTTCTCCTCCTCCTCCTCCTCCTTGTCCTCGTCCTCGTCCTCCTCGTTGCTACGGGGCCATGTGTTGGTCACTTGCGACAACGCCCGTTGCCGCCAGGTGCTCCAGGTGCCAGGGACATGGGCGTCCCTGGTGCGGCAGATGCGCCACGTGCTCCATGCGCGCCAAGCGTGCTGCACGTCGGGGGCGGCGAAGAGGGGGTGATGACTAGGGGGTGTGGATCTCATGGCGGGGGCCACGATATCTCCCCGGATTTCGGGGCGCCTCTTCTCATTTCGATGCGTCCCCGGCACTCCCCCGGGCCGCGCACATGCCGCCGGCCATGATTTGCGCCCTCCTCCCTCTTGGACGTCCCCCTCTTGGACGCCTCCGGATATGATCCAGCTGCGCCAGGTGCGCGGCACGCGTGGAGCAGGTGCGCTGCGCACGTGACAGCACTACTCGAGCAGCATGGCAAAACTCGCATCCTGCATCCTTTCTGTTGGGTAACAGCCACTGCAAAGTGACGGCGGGGTGGTCGGGATGTTATGCTAAGCGCTCCCACAGCCAGTTTGTATTGTTTTTCAAGGGGACTGTCTACTAGCGGACGGCGGACAAGAGCATGTTTTTCATACACATTCTGGCGAGTTTACCCTCCCTCCCCCCCTCCACCGCCTTTCAAGCAGTGCTTGGCAGGTGCGTCCCGACTTACGTCATCTCCAGGTTTTTTCGCGGACCTCGCCACGCCAGAACTGTCCGCCGGTTGCCCGCTCTCGATCAAGATTATGTTGGTGCGTGCACTCCGTCTTTCTGTTTGATCAGGGGAGTGGGGGGGGTTCATTGTTCTTGGCAAGGTCGATCGTTGTTGTCTTCTCTCCGTTTCCGTTTTGGTTTCACTCCAGGGCCCACCATTTGAAAATCACGACTTCGGATTTGTGCCACAACGTTGTTTCGGGGATTCGGCAGGACCATCTTCGTTTGTCAACGCTACAAAACGAAAGCGAAAACGCTCACTATGACCCTGGTTAGTCTGGTCAGTGCTCGGCTGGTTCCAATGCCACTCAAGCAGCTCGTCCGAAGCCAAGCGCTGTCCCCTTCGCCATACCTGCACGCGGCTCGACAAACTTGTCAGTTTCGACCCCAGGATGGATCCAGGGATGGACTTTGAGGGAATTTGCACTAATCCCCCGATGTTGAGCGATTTATCCAGCTCAGATCACCCCATGACCTCGGCAGGCGGTGGATACGGATATATTCGGGCCTTGGGGGCACAACATATATCCATACCCACGCCTGCCCGATGATCGATTCTCCAGGCGGTGGTCATGGATAGATCCCCGCCTCGATGCAAAGGAGAAGAGACGTTGAAAGCACGCAAGCATTGGGAATTCGAAAGCGGTGCGGCTCACGACACCTTCAGGGGCAACGTTAGGGGGGTCACGCTCATGGGGGGGCATCGACCCCCAGTCGCCCGCTCACCGTCGACAGGCGCCCGGTAGCTCGCCTCGCTCAGAAATGAGCGCATTCGCCACCGGAGGCCAACCTCCGTACTGTCGGCGATGATGCCTTCCCTGGGTCAGTCCCCTCTATCGTTCGGAGAAGAGACGAACAGCACATAAGTGGAGTTGTTTGGAGGTCCGCACGGATGTTTTGGGGCGATGGTGCGAGATCCTCATGGGGCGGGTGCGATCCCAACAGGATTTGTGAGATCCGAACGGCCCAGGAGACTGGGGCGTGTGAGCTCCCCGCGGGCGCGAACAAGTCGTTTCAAAAGTGCATGTGCATGATCATCATGTCCGTAAAAGCCGAACGGTGTGGCTTATGGGAGCGGGTACGGGTTTCTCAGGAATCATCAGGACTCCCGAAGAACAACGCAGGAATGTTCAGCAATCGTTTAGAACTTCCTTTAGGAGTCTGCAGGAATCGCAACGGGTTCTGCTGGGATCCTTCAGGACCCCTGGAGGAATTTACAGGAATCTGCAGGGGTCCTGAAGAATCCCTCAGGGATGTGCAGTAATCTCCCAGGAACCCCTACGAGTCCTTCAGGAGCCCCTCAGGCAGACCTCCTGGATCCTCAAGAATGCTTGAGGAATATCAAGGAAATTTCCACCGCAGCAAGAATCCTTCGGAGTCTGCAGAGACCCGTAGGAATCTGCAGGAACCCGTCATGCGCTGATGAGGCGCCTATCTGTAGGGCGCTTATATCGGGCGCATACTATCTTCTAATCGCGTTTCCTTGCACCTGCGCCCCGTATTCCTTACACGGCCTCTGCCACTCGTCGCCGCCGTCCACGCCGCATCTTGCGCCCTAGGCGTACGCGGCAGTGCTCGACCGCGTCGGCGGGAACATGGGCTCCTACCTGCTGAACAACACCAGGAAGCTGAGGACACGAGTGTCGGCGCAGAGCGGGCAGTTGTGGCAGGTTCCCAACCTCCAGGGCATTGGAAGCGGCAAAACGTACATGTTTTGCCGTTGCCGGCCTCTGGGGGCCTTCGTTGGGCCCTGAGACCGTCCAAAAACAATCGTGTCGACCAGCAACCGGGAGGCTTCTGGGGACCTCCCGGGGATCGGGGGCCCCCAAACGGGGTGGTGACCACACCGTGTGGTGAGTCGGTGGGGGTTCGGGGTCACCGCACGGTTTTGGGACTTGGGTCGTTTTCCGATGATGTCTCGGGCGGTTGGGGCCTCCAGGGTCCCAAAACCGTGTGGTGACGGACCATGCGGTGAGGTCTTTGCGGATTTCGAGGTCGCCGCCGGGTCTGTCACCACACGGTTTTGGGACACCCAAGGGGAGCGGACGGCGGCAGGCCCGCGTCGGGCCGACCGGGCAGTGGCCCCGCCGGGGGCGTTCGGCCTCTGGCACGCCGCCGACGGCCCAGGATCGGCCGAGGTGGCAGGGTGCGGCGATCGAAGGGCCCCCGATCGCTCAGGGTTGGAGGACACGCATGTGGACAGTCGGGGCCCTGAAGAAGGAACCCTTTTCGTTGGGGAGGGGCTCTGCGTTCCTTAAGTGTTTCACAGCTTGCCTCAGGTTTTCCTTAGGTTTTCGATAGGAAATCGAAGTTCAACTTATGGAAAACAGGGGCCTCGTTCCTTATTTTGGGTTCCTTAGGTCAAGGCCCCGACTGTAGGGCCAGAAGCCGCCACAGACCGCCGAGACGAGCGTGCCCCCGACGCGGGGCCGCCGCCGCCGCCGCTCCAGCGAGCCGCGGGCACGGCCGCCGCAACGCCCTGCGCCTGGAGTCGAGGGGTCATCGCCGGCGCAGGGCGCCTGGCGAAGGGCGCCTGGTGCGATCGGCGGCGAAATCCGAACCGTAAGCTCGCCAGTCAAGGATTCAGGCTACTCGATGGGCGGCTGGGGCAGGGTTCGGAATTCGTCGAGCACGTGACAAAATCCGAACCTTACCCCCGCCTCTCTTCGATTCGGGAGGGTCGATGCTTGGGGGGGGGGCAGGGTTCGGATGGCGCCACTTGCCAATGCATCTTGGAGTTTCCCACGGATTGCGCTGGGCCCCCCTCGCGGCACCTCCTGCGCCACCCCTGGCGCGCTCCGCGCCAGGGAGGGGGCCAATGCCGATCTAAGAAATCCACGCTCCGTTGCGAAGGTTTGTATGCTAGTGCAACGCTTGTGTTTTCCCTGTTATCTGTCCCAGCCGTAGGTTCTCTTGGCCCTTCGTCTTTGCTTTGGTTCAGGGGCACCGTTGGCAATTCCCGAGTCGAAGCCATCCGCCCCCCGACTGCGGACCCTTGCGGCAGATCTTGCAGAGATTTGCGAGGATCGTCACCTTCGCGGCATCGCTCGCTGGAAGCGCAGCCGCGGCCCACCGAACGAGCGGGGACACGTAGTCCGTCGTCGTCGTCGTCGTCGTCGTCGTCGTCGTCGTCGTCGTCGTCGTCGTCGTCAAAGAATCATGATCAATGCATCGGCGGCGAGCCCAAGGGGGGGGAAGGCAGAGGGGGTGGACCCCCTCAGAAGCAGGGGCGCCCTGCAGGGCACGAAGTTCCTCGCGCTTCGCGTCTCGGCTCCGACGACTCCTCCTCGTCCTCTCCTCCCCCCGGGGCGGCGCGGGAGCGCGAAGTGGATTGGATTGGGCCAGACTGTCAGATTGGATTGGGCCCCAAGGGCCAATCTGGCCCGGCCAAACTGGATGATTTGGGTTATTCGCCAGACTGGATTCGCGTTGGCTCCCTCGCCAGATTGCCCCCGTTTGCCAGATTGGGCCTGCCAGATTGGCGCCAGATTGGCTTCGACTATCCAGGAAGTGGCCCTCGCCTCGCGCTTGCGAAGTGCGGCGGCCTCGCAGAAGGCGCAGAGGGCGTCCGGCCGTCTCACCGGATGTCGACGCCTTCTTTCCTGCCACGCACAGGGGGTGGGCAGGGGGGGGGGAAGGCTTCTCAGAGGCACCCCTGCTTCTCAGAAGGCGCGGGCCTTGTCTGCAGCTGGAAGGCCGACTGCCTCGGCCCAAGACGACGACCCAAGTGCCTGCCCCTGTCCCTCCTCGCCAAGGTCGGAAGGTGGAGCCCATCTGCAATCCTGTGGCACTAATGGGACACCATCGGGACTTCATCGAGGCCTCTGCGGATCACCATCGGGAGGGGCACCTGGAGGCCCTGCAGGGGCAGTTTGACGGCACCATCGGGCCACCATCTGAAGGACATTTTGACACAATGCGGACACCACCGGGGCAGCATGTTGACACCATCGGGACCTCACCTGAGCACCGTTTGGACACTATCGGGACAGCATGTTCATAAGACTGTCTCCGTTGTGCACCATCCGGACACCGCAGGGAGGCAGCAGCACCCAGCTGCACAACTCACGCGGGGGGTATACTTGGAGGCCTTCCTTGCAGTCCGCCAGGGCCGCGATGGTTGTCGGCGACCGAGCCACCCCCGCCAGTCCGTAGAGCAGGGGCCCATCGCCCCCCCCAGTGGCCCGTGGCCTGCCCCCGCGACGACGGACGCCAGCGGCTCCTGCTCCGAGGACCGCCCCAGTGCCAGTCCGCGAGGGGACGCACCTCCGCGCACTGGGCACAAGCTCTTACTTTAGCTTTCGTAATAAAAGGGAGGGGGTCTGGACCATCCAAGACAAGCCATTTCAGACCTCCCCCGTGGGAGAACCCTCCAAAACATCGTCCCCAGACCTCACAGGCCCTCCAAGATAGCCTGGAAGAGACCCCCCCCCGAAATGAGACCCCCCTCCCTTTATTACGAAATACTCCTCGTAAAAAAAACACCTGGGCCGCGTCGCCAGACACCCGTGCCCGGCGGGAGTCTCTCACCGCAGGCTACAGGAGGCCGGGCAACGGGCGGGCGGGTCATGAAGAGCTCACAGCGAGCGTCCTGCTCGACTTCCCCATCTCCAAGGAAGCGCTGGCGGCCCGGATCGGGAGGATGCAGGAAACAGGCGGTGAGCCCAGTGCGGCGTGGAGCCGATATTGTGCCCTGCGCGGCGGCGGCACCCGCGACCCAAGCCGGCATGTCGCCGCTTCCTTCCGCTGCTTCCTCCACCAACTCCGCCCCACACCTGCCCGCGCCCCTTTGCTGCCCGCCTTGGCGCCAGCAGCTCTGGCAGCGTCCCGCGGCGGTCCCGCCCGCTGGCCGCTGCGTCCTCGGATGCCCCCGCCGGCCGCGCGGCAGCCCCGGCGGCTTCTTTCTGCCCCGGCCGCCGCCCTTGCCTCGGCTTGCCCGGCCACGGGCGCGATTTGCCGCTCCCTGTCCCCGGCTGGGCGTTTCGCCGCTTTGTCCTCTGCATCATATTGGGCCCGCGTGCCGCTCCCCCGCCTGCTTTTGGCCAGGCCGAGGGGCCGCGCACCTCCTCACCCCCTGGCAGCACCAGTTCGGTGCTTCCCCGCGCGCCCCCCCCCCCCCCCCCTACCCTCCTCCCCCAGGGCAGGGTGGCGGTCGTGGGCGCCTCTTCCCTCGCACGCCGGTGCCCGCGATCCCCCGTCCCTCGTCGGGGCTGGGCGCTGGGCCCCTGGCAGTTTGGCCCGGCCAGGGCAGCCGCCCTCGCTCGCCCCACCCAGCTCCGTCGTGTCCATCCGGACCAGGCTGCACCTTCCCCCGCTCTCGCCCCCGGGCCGCATTGGGGTCCCCCGCTGGCAAGCGGGCTGCCGCGCCCGCCTGTGCAGCGGTGTCGGTACGAGCGCTGCCCGCCGCCCCCCGCCCCCCATTCACTCGCCCGCCCTGGGCCTGGGAGCCGCACTCCCGCCAGTTTTGACCAGGCCGAGAAGGTGCCCGCCCCCCCCCTGGCACTCGCCACGCCGCACTCGCCACGCCACGCCTCGCCACGCGGCACTCGATCAGAGAATGAATGTTTACATTGGGTTTTCGCCATTGGGTTTTGGAGTTGAACCATCGCCCCCGTTGCTAAAAATCTATCAGCGGCGTGCCGCAGTTGCGTATTCAGTGCCGATTCGCAACCCCGACAGGGCGCGCGGTGCGCAGGGGGTGGTCTTTGAACGCAGTCTCTATCCACGCTGGGGTCGCAGGGCGTGGCAGGCGTGGCCTGACGCCAAGAAGGGGTGTGCAGGAATCTCCCCCTGCTCGCAGGGCGCCAGGGCGGTCGCGGGGACGTTTCCAGCGTTCCAGTTTGCCCCGCCCACCTTTTGTTTTCTATAGGCGCACTGCAGCGGTGGGAAAAATTAGTTGTCTCCCCACGATCTGTTAAAAAACCGTTTTTGGCGATTCACTGGAAGTGTTCGGTGCCTGCCCCGCGCCTGTTTCGGTTCCCGTCGCGGTTACTGGAGGTAGTCAGCAGCGCGCGGCCCCCCTTCGGCCTGCTTGCCGCGCCCCCCCCGCCTCGGCGCCCGGGCTGGTCTGGCCGCCCCCGCCCCCGCCCCCCAAAGATTTGCCCGGTTTTCGGGCCCCGCCGTCCCTTCGAAAGGATCCCTTGGGGTTCCGGATTTTTCCAGCTGGTCGCACTCCCGCCTTCGCCGACAGACCTGGTCAAGTTCCCCCCCGCCCACGCTGGCCCCGCAGCCCCGCTGCTGCCGCTGGCCTCCCTCCCCGGAGTCGGCCTCGCCACGCGCCTGGGTCTGCTCTGAGCGGCCCTGGTTCCCGCCTTTCTCCCTGCCTCGGCCGTCGCCCCGTTGTCCTCCCTCCCCCCCGCCCTGCATGGTGGCGCAATTCGGTTGATGCTTGCCCCGATTCGTTCTTTTCGTCAGCGCAGTCACTTTGCTTAGCCGCCGACGCAAAAAGTAGACGTAAGGCCGCCGCCTTCCAAGAAGCGGCTTGCTTCTAAGAAGGCCCCCCTCCAACCACCCCTTTGTGCGCGCCACCAGTTATCCGAAGGCACGGGCGGCCCACCAGAACGCGCGAGGGCTGAGACGGGCGTGTCCCTCTACAGGGGGAATATTCAAAGATAGTCAAAAATGCTACGGGGACGATTTTTCTAGTATTTGCTGGCATTTCCTGAGCATGCTTGTTGTATGCTTGTTTCTTTGACCAAATTCGGCCTGTAGAGGGACATGCCCGACCTAACACGAGGGCTGCGGAGCAGCCCCGCCGCCCTCGAAGGAAGCCAGCCCCCCTCTCTCGCCTCCCCCTGGGCTCTCGAGGGCGCGTGGGCCGCCCGCCTCCTCGGCAGGACGTCGGCGTCACCCCAACGTACGAATTCGGCCACGCGCAGAAGGGGCATAGGGGGAAGGGGGAAGGCTTCTTAAAAGCACCCCTGCTTCTCGGGGGGCGCGGGGGCCTTGTCTGTAGATGTAGTGCCGGCGCCTTCCAAGAAGCGGCCTCCCTTTAAGAAGCTTTCCCCCCTCCCCCTGCCCCCTTGTGCGCGCCGCCAGCGCGCACATAGAAAGTTTGTATTACCAGTTCCGTGGCAGGCGCCTTTTCTGGCCATACCGCATGGGAAACGATATACCACAAGATCCCTATATGTTTGGTTTCGGGAGCACCACTCCAAGCAGGACTGTGTACTAGGATGCTCTTGTGCGTCCCAGGACGCTCAGATTCGTTTTCGAGGTTCAACACGGGCAGAATGTTTATACACATCCATTGCGTCTTGGACTTCCTGTGACGGGTCGCCCAGAGGCCGAAGCGCAGCCGATGTGGAGAAACATCTAGCCTTCCCGGTGCGGATATCTGCCCATATCCAGATCCACTGCGCCTATGCCTGCATCTCCCTCATACCTCTGCGTGGTGGCTTGCTATGGCCGTTCTGTAGAGTTTCGCGGTCTCGGACCACGGACAAAGGACAAAGAGGAGCGTGCGCTTGCAAGGGACAAGAACATCAGAACATTGCCTGTCTTCTGGGGAAGGGAGCCCGAAACTCCAAGAGTCAGCGGACATGGATATACAAGGCTTGCCTGCAGCCCGCCCCATCAGCAGGACGTTCAGATTTACTCTCGAGGTTCAGGTAGGTTCGAGACCAAACCATCCGCCCCCCGACCGAGCCAGCCGGCGCGCCCCCGCCCGCGAGAGATGTCGGCGGACGGCACCCAGCCCGCCGCGGCGCTGCTCACGGAGGACACGGTCTGCGCCTACGTTTCCGAGAAGCTCGGCGCAATGTCGGGCCGTCCCCCTTGGAGGTTTCGAGGCCCGGGTGTGGGTGCAACCGAACATGAGAGCAGAAAGAATGAGGACTCGAGCAGTGGAGAAGCGTCCTGGCTTGCCTGCAGGAACACCTAAGAATGTTCTCTAAGAACGCTTTGGGGTTTTACGAAACGTCACTGGAACATGTACGGCTGAGACTGGCTTATTTTAAGACATCTTGTTTATATTCTAAGGTCACTGATTTTGTGTATCGAGCATTCATGGGGTGCTGAGAACATGTCGCCGTATGCCTGTAGGAATGCTAGGACCGCCGGTCACTGCTCAAGGGACGAAGACCTACATCAGTTCGTCTTCATATTAAATTGCATTCACTTTCTATATCGTTGCCTGCCCAACAACGACTA